ATGACAGCATCTAGTTGATCATGTTGATGGAACTAAACTTTATAAATGAATATACATTTATAGAAAAATGAAGTTGTTAAAGGGTGTACAATACAATTTCCATATCACTTCGAGAGTGCAGATGATGGTATTTGAATGCATGTACATATGGAAAGCTTTGTCTGGCATTTTACATATTTTCTATTCCATACAAAAGCGTGTTTTTGTGATTATATTCTTGTTTTTTTTCATAAAATAAAATGAAATTAAGAGCCGAATTATGTATACATGAGAACTGGTACTTAGTACCCATTCTGAGCGCACGATTGGCATGGTTGTTCTGGGGGCAAGGTAACATAACTAGGCCAGATGGTTTGGTAGGGGACCAGGGGCAGGATGCCAATGCATGTGATGGTTAATTATTTTTTTAAAACAGATTCTGATTGCACACATAAGTACTCTGAAGTTGACATCAAGAAGATGCTTGAGTTTCTTATTGACAATATAGATGTTGTTTTTGGAGACCAGGTATTCCAACAATCTTTTGGAATTCCCATCGGTACAAATTGCGCTCCGTTATTAGCAGACATATTTTTATATTCATATGAAGTAGAATTTATGCAAAATCTTATGGACGAAAAGAAGAAAACACTTGCTATGGCCTTCAAATCGACATTTAGATATATCGACGACGTATTGTCAATTAACAATGGTAATGTCCATTCCTACGTCGATACGATATACCCTGATGAGCTTGAGATAAAAGAAACCACAGAGTTTGACTTCTGTTTCATACTTGGTGGTTTAACAGGGGTCCAGGGGCAGGATGCTTATGTATGTGGTGGTTCTCAGACAGGTCAGACCAACCTTTTGGGTTGTTGACTCCATGTAGGCGGCCATCGGAATTTAGTACCCGAAGCATCAGAGGGGTTGAGAACAATCGCATCATCTCGGACCTTTCCATCAGAGGTCGGAAAAACAATCTCAAATGAATTAACATCACCGGATGTTAAAAATTTATACATTTTATTTTTATTCAAGTACATGTATAGGATTAACCTAGTTAGAAGTCCCTTCTATGGTGTAATTTAGGTAATATCCATTACATTGAATAACTTTAAAGTCCATATTCCACAAATAAAAGATCTCCATGCTTTAATTTCAAAGATCGTGAAAAGAGAGTTGTCATGGCATCTACCATATACATTCAATTTCTAGGTCGTTTTTCCGCTAGTCGGAGAGGCCCGAGAAGTTGCGATTGGGGTTGAGAATAGTACTGTATTAGGGGAAGTAAATATGTCCCATAATTCAATTTTTAGCTCACCTGAGCCGAAAGTTCAAAAGAACGAGGGCGCTTTTGATGACATTCGGCAGGAATCTGGGCGTACTTGAAAAGTGAAAATTTTATCGAATATTACATGAAATTTTAACATTTTTTTTTATTTATCGGGTTCCTGTGCAACAGGAAAGGAAAATGTTTTCTCGAAATGGAGTTTTGATTTGCTAAAAAATAACTTGAAAATTGGACAGATCAGACATTTGGTACAAAATGGTACATTTTTAAATACCTTTTTCTAAATTTTTTCTATCTCTGGGTCTTCTCTCCATGATTTTGAAACGTCATTTGGATGTATTTTAATTCAAAGAAACGAATATACGTTTTTAAAAAATGGAGAGTAGACCCAGAGACCACGAAAAATGAACTTTTTCCCAAAAAATCCAAATGTGTGAATGTGGAACTTCTTTGTTCTTTTTAAATCATTTGCACATAAGAAGCGGCGATAGCTCAGTAAGTAGGGCTACTTATTCTGTGCGCTCGAGAGGTGAAGTTTTCGGTTCGAGCCTGGCATGGGGCGTTAATTTTTTTTCCATGCAAACAACCATTTATTTTATCATTTTCGTTTTATGCACTGATGTATTAAAATTTTGAATTTGATAAATTTTAGTTCAGATGGTTCTCGAGCGAAATCAATTCCAATCTTCTATTATATAATGTACATGGACACGCATTATGCATCTATGCATTAAATATTTTAGGTGTTTAGTTTATTATACTATTACTATTTATTACTATTTATTTACTATATTATAGTACCCCCTTGGAAAAACGGACATAAATGTTACAATTTCACAAGGTCTTTCAAACTAAATGAAAAAAAATCCCTATGGACATGTTTGTAAAATCTGACCAGCTATGTTCACCCAACCAAGTCATGGACTTTTAAACCATAAATGATATCAAAGTTGATAAGATCTCGGGATGACCTGACGTGTTTTACAATGCTCCTCCTTATCAGTAATTACCATTGCTTCTGAATATGATTAATAATGGAGTCAATCAATTTGAACGAAAATACAAGTTTATTTAAATCTATTCTGGATACCCTTGGACTTTCATTTTCACAAGGAAATTCAAATTCGTTACCTGATGATGAAGATCCATTACTTGATGTTCATGTGCCAGATTCCTTACAAGTACGATTCAACAAACAGAGTGTAACACTGAACTATGAGGAAGATAAATTCGACGACATTGTGACCATTCTTAACAATGATCTACTGTTTGCCAAAACTGAATTTAATCAAAGTACTGAAAGTACTGAAAGCCGGGCTTAAGAACAGCACACAGGTGAAAAGAACAGGTTTCAGTTAAAGTATGAATGATATAAGGAATTACCGTATAAGTAGAATTTTTAGCGAGGATTTAATTTTGGCATTATTAGCGAGGGTCCTGAGATCGCTAAAATTAAATATCGCTAAAATTTAATTGCATTTTATTTGCAATAGCTTCTTTAGTAAGCATTTTAAAATCGCTAAAATTACATCTCGCTAAAAATTAATTACCATTTTTTAAGGAGAAATCGCTAAATTTGCGTCTCGCTAAAATTTCCACTTATACGGTATTAGATGCAGCGAATGAAAAAGCATTGTTAAATTTTATATAAGAACAATAGGTTTAACTTTGATGAAGTATAAGGGTGATTTTATAATGACTAGAAAGTCTGCTATTGCAAGCAATAGCATATGTTTCCCGAACTGGAGAATTTTCATTTTGTCATCAGTAATACTATGCCCATTAGCTAAGCTTGGACAACCATCAACTCGTATCAGTCCTTTCGGTACTTTGATTTTAAAATCGGAGCTAAGCGCATGTGCATGCATATGCAAGTTATAAATCCCATCCTGTTTGGTTCAAAACTAGAGTAGTTATAGCCATTTAAAGTTTTAGCCAATCAGATTGCAGTGCACATGCATGCACATGTTTTCATGATTATTGTTATATATCATATTGTAGTAATGCATGACTTGTCGTAATGCATGACTTATTTAAAATTTCAATGTATTTCATCAAAAAAGAAAGAGATATTAAAATTTTTGTTTCAGCCAATCAGAGCAAAGTGCACGTGCATGCACATCATTTCGTGCTAATCTGACAATGTCATATTATCTACACTATTAATATATCCTTATATAATATCCTTATGAAATGAGCATTTCATCAAAAAAGTGTAAAAGTTAAAGCAATATTCAGTATACAAGTCATTTAATGTTGCACGCATCCGCACATAAATGCGTATGCACACAAAATGACCTTTGTTCCATACATCTACACAACATGCCTATTAGGCTTAAAAAGGTTTTAGCTCAATTGGATGGACATTTTTCTAGAACTCAAACTTGGACAACCATCAAACCTATCTGTACTTTCAGTCCTTTGATTTAAAAATCGAAGTTCAAGAATTTTGACTTTTCCCCCCTTTCCATGGAAACTAATAAAAGCTTAGAATTTTTAAATCCAATGAGCACAATTAAAGAACCTAATCATTACATCCACAAAATTTCATGACGAATGTGCAAGGGTCTATGCCTACAAGTTTTGGGGATTTTAGTTCATGTAGAATAGTACTTGATGCAACAGAAATCACCCAGGATGTTCCAGGGAATGATATGAGATTGCAGGCCAGCACATACAGCGGATACAAAAATTCTCACACTGTTAAAAGTGTTACAGGTGTTGCACCTAATGGTGCTTTGGTATTTATTACTAAATTGCACCCTGGCAGCACATCTGATGTTGCAATTGTAGAACATTGTAAAGTCTTAGAACAGTTATCTCCAGGTGATATGATCTTAGCAGACAAAGGGTTCACTATTCACAAGTTGTTGCCCCCAAGGAGTACATCTAAATATTCCTCCCTTTCCAGTGAGGTCCAACTATGTCGAAGAATTGCTAAGTCACGCATACATGTTGAAAGAGCAAATGAGCGTATTAAGAATTATAAAATTTCAAGGCATGTTCCGCAGCAATTTAGATATATTTCTACAAAAGTCTTTCAATTATGCTGTGTTTTAGTCAATTTTCAGGATCCCCTTATGCAGGAAATTGCTCAGAATTTTGCAAGTGTAGATAACTAAGATATTAAAATTAAAATGTTTTCACCATGTTTAATGTTATATCTTATAGCTGTTGTAAATACGGGAGAAATTTACAGAAATAAAAGTCTGTCAAAACAGATATGTTGATCTCCCAATTGATGTCTTTGTTAATTCTCACAATCGCACAGTCTTTTGGTGTCCAGACTATAAAATCACACAAGGATTTCCGAATTATATGAAGCTGTCCTTGCACTTGATCATAGTATTGGTGGTTCTCTCATAGCTTGAAGGACTTTACTCCATTAAAATCCTGAACCTCTATATGAAAAAAATATATATGTTGAAGAGTTTTAAAGAATAAGAATTTTCATTGGTGCCTCAATCATTAATATAAGACAAAACTATTTAACTAATAAATATTTACATGTATAAGTATTTTGTTCCTTACTGTACAATAAAGTGAGAAGGCAAATCATCTGCCTTGAGGACTAACATTACAACAGAAGGAAAAAACTTTTTTAACAATTGCTAAATTGTACTTAAATTTATCCAAACTAATATATTGGAATTATTTAAAGTAATATCTCAGTACATGAAACGTATTCAAACAAATACATACACACTATTATTACCCAGGCAGAAATCGTGTACTTTTTCAAAAACTTCTGGAATTGTCAAATTCTTTGCTGAAAAGGGGCATTTCACCTCCAGTATTTCTGGCTTAACGTTTGACATCTCTAATATGTCAGCGAGTCCTGGATTCTGATTGCTGAATCCGAATGCAGCAGGACGACGAATGAGTCCATCGGGGCTTGACCCAAGAACCCCATTACAGTGTAGCCAGATACCTAATATGAACAGAATTATAAAGTTTCAAAATAGCATTAATATGCAACACTCTGATTTTCTTATGCATTGATGACTTGTAAGTTATAAATAGAATATACAAACAGTATATTCATTATCTTCAACTTCCGTTTAATAACTGAATTTTAAATAAATTAGCTCAAGAAAAATTTTTATTTATCATCAATTTTTATTTGCTTTAAAGAAATTGAAATTTTGCTTAGGAAAGAAATGTACCAACCTGTTGGCTCTACAACTGCATCCCCAAAAGTTCTATACTTTTCAATGGCACGTCCCCCAAATAATGGCATCCTTCTTTGACAGATCATAAGCTGAGCATAATCTTTTGTATAAGGAGACAGGATATCTGTTATATAAGGAGCAAACTTTCAATATTTTTGATTTTATAATTAACTGCTTTTACAAGTATCATTTATAATTACATATACATATAAAGGCATGTAAACTACCAGTATACCTATTTCTCTTGATCGCTGCCAAAACACAACCAAAGTTTGAAGCTGTTAATCTATTCTTCCTAACAGATGACCACATGCAATTTTCCTTTTGACCAGTGGTAAGACAGGCAATCTAAAACATGACAAAAATCTTAAAACTTAAACAACATTCATAATGAAACGGAATACATTCTATTCATTATGCAACTCATTTGTCTTTACCTGTTGGATTTCTTGCTCATTTATCATTAATTTTTGCTTCATCCAAGCGATTGGATTCTCTGCAGAAATAAATTCCTGGCTAGAGATGAGGTCTTCAACTAGAAGCACTGCAAGTGTGGGCACAGGCAGCTCGGGGGATAGTATCCAATGCATTGCTGTTGATTTAATTAAACAAAAAAATTAAACCCTCAGTGAAAAAGACAACAAATACTCAATAAACCTGTATTGCAGTTACATCACCAAATCTTAATACTGGTATATATGTTAAATATTTTTCAAACTTATTTTATTTACTACTTCAAATAAATTTTGGATTTCAATATGTATACATGTGAAAAGAATGTACAAATAACTTCCTTTAAGTATGTATGAGAAATAGGGTGAATAATATTTAAACATTTTACTAAAGGTTGCAGTTGAGTTGAAGTTTTATATTACGTCACGATCTTCTAGTTTGACAGATGCGTTCAAGGTAAATAGTATACGCCTCCTAACCGCAAGCTTTACGACTGGAACTTTCTTCTAATCCCTGATTGTTTGCTTGTACAACAAACTATTTCTGTGTCAAGGTTGATAATATGAGTTTATCAATCACATGAATTGTTTACGCTGAATGCATCTGTCAAAAAAGATTGTGACTTGATGCAAAACTTCACACTGAATTGAAATTGATAGTATAAATGTATAATTAAAAGTTTAAAACAAAGTCAACACAAAAACAAAAGAGACAAGAACAAAACTAATCATGTAAAAGACAAAAAAAGCAAAAAGAATGGAAAGACTGCACATCTTATCAGAATTTCAGTCCAATGTCAAATAAGCCATTAAATATCTGAAGTCCAAAGTCCGGGTGTAATGAGTTAGTTAGGTGTTTTGTGAATTTATATATATATATATATATATATATATACATGTGTGTATATGCATTCTATCCTATCACAGTATAAATTTTCAAAAAGTAACAATAGAATAAACTCGTAAACAATGTGACACTAAAATAAAACACCAGATATATTAACCTGAAAATCTCCCTACAGTTGTCAATTTCTGATATAGGAACTCCCTGTCCCTATCATTGACTGGCCTATTTGTTGCCCTAGTAATTTTTGACAAAAGTTGAAAAATGGAGCATAATACAACACTGAATGGTTTTACATATACCATGCTAGCTGCAGATCTGTAGCTTGCTGGTCTGAAAAAATTAGGATGGACGACCAGAGAGATACAGTTCCATCCATTGAAAAAAGTGTATATTGCCCATAAAAAATATGCTATTTCTCTATTTTTTATATTTTCACTTTTGGGGTACTGTCATTTTTTAATATTTTGCACCATTCATGAAACAGTCATAATAAATGCATACCTGTAATTTATAAACCTGTCATGTGCAGGAAAAAGTTCTTCCATCGTCTTAGTTTGACGAGGTGGCGCACTCTGGATGCTTAATCCAACTCTGGCGTACATCAGTTTTGCTGACATTTTTGTACCTGTATCAACATGTTCCATAAATTTACTAAGTTATATTATAGTCTTGGGGCCTAAAGTTAGATTTTATAGTTACAAGTATGCTTATATATGCCAAGGTAGTGGACTTGGAGGTTCCAGGGCACGAATAGTACCCTGCTACCTACAGTCACATGGTGAACTGCACACTTGTATATACCGGGTATATATATTGGTGTGCATGTTTTGATATAATTTCTATTTAACATTATATTTGGTAAAGCATACCTAAAACAGACCAAGTGAATTTACATATTACATAAATTGCATATAAATTACCCATAGAGAAGAATGCTGGCTTTATGGTGACATTTGTCCATCCCATGTACACATTCACAGGTACTCTGTTCAACTGTGTAGTTAGAACCAAGAGTAATCTAATAAAATAAAAAAAAAATAACCACCTAGAATTTTACTTATATTATCTGATACTATCAATTTTAAAAGTAAAAAGCATGTTTACATGGAAACTTGAAAATTGTGGAGAGAGAAAAAAAAAGAATTGTAAATTAATTTATTATTATGTATTAAGACATTGCATAGACACTTTCAGTCAAGGAAATTCGGAAAGAGGTTTGTTCTGGATTTATTGCATAGGCAGGATAAAACATATAACGTGCGAGTACACCCATTATTGCCGAGTACCCATTATTGCCGATTTTCGATTTTACGTTTAAAAATCTGTCAAACGGTATTTATTTGTAAATTTTTTGCAAAATACATAAATTACACAATTTTTCCAAACCCCAAATCGTCTCGGAGAAAGAAAAAGTTGTTTAGAATTAATAAACTCACCATTGATATATCAAGTCTTTGAAAACGTACAAAAAAGCAGTCGTGCGACAGGACATGCCATAGAATTTTCGGCTAGCTTTCCATTTTCCTGACAGAATCAGTCATGTTTTGGTGCAAATCAAATGAATATTCTCCTGCATGCAATGATACTAAACAAAATTATCCATGGTAATTTTTCTACTTGCATTATTTAACGAAAATTACGACGAGTATGAAGCGTCTGCTGTACGACGCCATTTTTGTTTTATACGGGAGCGGATCAAAATCCACCATATGCACCTGTTCTTAATAAATCTGCAATAGGTTATTTTTATCGATTTATTTTTGTTCATATCGCTTCAAAATTATATGGACAACTTTTTAAAATAGCATAACAAGGTGAAAGTGTCTTATTTGATTTTTTTTAAATTAAAATATATATAAATGGGAAAATAAATGGGAAAATGAGGAAAAAATTCACAAGTTCTGGATGACATGAGAGTACAAAGACATATCCTGGATTCATCCTTGGAGAAACAATATACTCAATAACTTGCTCTACATTTTTTTTTTTCTTCAAGAGATAAAAAAAAATAAATATTATGAAAAACGGAGTTCTATTGAAGATGGGGGTGCAAGCTACTTTTCTTCAAAAACCCCTTTTACAACTCCAAGTCATTTTATGGCTATAAAAATTGGAAACTAAAACCCATGCAGGGGCTGGAGGGTCTAAATTCATACTTTATAATTGAACAAAATAGAGAAAAGTTACTTCCATTTACAGTTACAACATTTCTTTACATACTCCTATATATTTTTAATTCTTCACATAAACTGTAAAGCTTTGATTTAGCAGCCATAGGCAGAGGTCTGTATGACATTCATTCAACTCCTTAAAATTTCTTCAGATATGTAGTCAACCATTTATTTGGTCACTGGCAAGGCAAAGACTTAAAAAAAAAAACTTTTCTTTCTTCCAAAAATCTCAAAGAAATGGGATGAACTTACAGTAACCTGTAGCTCCGGTCTCGCATGGAGGCTTGCACAATTCCCCTTATAAACTGCGCATCTTTGTCATACACAAACTTTAAAACGTGGTCAGATTGTACGGCAGTCTCCGATTTCCGCATAAGTTTCGTTGTACCAGCTGTATAATTTGGCCATGGAGAACGCCATACCGCAATCGCGTATACCTAATACCTTGTGTAATATGGCGTCTTCTTTGTTTATCTCCAGAAACGAAATCTGGCGATGTCTAGGGGGGCACTGTGTAGGCCTAACACCTGCATCATTAGGGACTCCTCGGCTGATTAGGTTTGCCGAATGAGTGGAAAATTTAGCCTGGTACCCTGTCTCACCATAGCCTAGGTCACGCAAGTCGTTTGACCCCCACTCAAACGCCTTGGAGCATACTGTAGATAAAATCATAGACCTAAAACGAAGGGACCGCCGACTCCATGACGTCACAATAGATATCACTATACGATCTCCCTCCGATTGCAGCGCCCTCACCGGGATGCATAGAAAACATCCGGCATTACAAAGATTACGTTATTTACATCTACATTGTCGAGCTATTCTAGCATGGAATGAATTAAACTTTTGCCGAATGTACCAAATTCTTTTTACTAATACACTAAAGAGTTCTTTGAGCAGCTTTTGAGGTATTTATCTTGTTTTTAATGTGTACAAAAAGCTATACAGTTTGAGTATTTAAGATGACAGATGATGACCATGATCACAGAGAAGCTGTCAAAATGCATGTGAGGTTGCTCAAGATGCTGCTCGATGAAAAAAAAGTTCATATTTAAGAAACAGATAGGCCTATTGATACGTGAATTTTTTAAAGAGCAAACATTTTATGCTTAATAGCAGTGTTTGACAACGCTGACATCGCAACAGGCCCCTATGCATGACTATGGTACAGTAACACAAGTAATGAGTACCTTTGACAAGTTTATAGCCACCCCATTTTTTTTTATTATAATGTATGCAAGAAGTTCGATCCTACCCACCCACCCCCGACAGGATTTTCGAGTTTGTACGAAATTGTACGAAAAGGAGACATTTTTTCTTTTTTTTTTTTAGCTTGTCAAACTGTTTTAGGGTTTGAAAGTTACCATAGGGCTAAAAGGGGTAAAGTTGCATTGGCGTCGGAAGCAAATTGAAAGTGGGGGGGGGGGCTAAGTGTAAAAAAAAAAATTGTACCTCCAAAAAAACCTGACAAGCAAAAAAAAAAAGGGAAATGTCTATTTCCCAAACACGAAAATCCTATTTCGTGGGCGGGGGGGGGAGGGGGGGGTTAGGTTGGTTCGAACTCCAGTACCAAAACTTTTCTTCCAAACTCCACCACTTTCCCCATTTTAACCTATACTGAGACGTATCTGTGGAAGGTGAGGGGGCTAAACTTACGAAGATATGTTCAATGTCTATACTTAGTATATATTTGGAAAAAAAGTGGGGGTGGGTGGGGCTAAGCCCCCCCTTCCCCCCGCTTCCAACGCCTATGAGTTGTTCCCATTTAAATATGATTCTTTTAATATAAAAAATAACATTTTCCCTAAAGTCCTACCTAACAAGGTATAGGGTGTATAATTTCATAAAAAGAAAAAAAGGATAAGATTTACAAGTGTCTGTGTGCTTTGAGCTACAGTAAGTTATTAAAACTTCTATTTAAGCAGTCGATTCAAGATCAAACACTTTGATCAGAGCTTGCACATATAAAATAATTACTTACTAGTGTTTGTTCTTCAAAGCTGCTGATAAGATTGAACATGATGCTCAGCGATTATGATTTTGCTTTTTGCAGTTGTGATTGATACATTGAAAATAAATATTTTAAAAAGACATTAAATATGCCATACATGTACATCTAAAACAGTGCTCACCAATATAAGCTCACTATAGAAAAGGAAAAGTCTAAAATTAAATATAACAATGAATTTAATAATATTTCATTACGGTCACATTAATTTGATTAAATTACATGTATTTAATATTTATTTAATTTATTATTTATTTAATATTTATACCGGTATTGATGCAGTTTGATGCAGTTTGTCTTTAAGTTATGATATACAAAAGTTAATTATAATCACATTCTGGATAAATACAGTAAAGTTGAAAAAATTGGAGTTCTAAACATGATAATTAAATCATTGAAATCCAGTCATGTGCAACTATGGGACACACCACTTGGCACTTTTGTTGATTTAATCCTGTGCAGGTTTGTGACAAGTCTTTGTTCTTTCACATTTAACTCATTATACCAGGTGGTACACGGCATGACCATGTTCTAAATATTTTCCAAAGAGTTTGGTGTGCTAGGCAGACCACTATTCTCATTTGAGAAGCGGACAGGCTATCAACACAACCTGTGGGGAAAAATGAAAAAAATAATCTCTTAGAAAATCTTTTCAACACTGACAATGTTGTAATCCTGAATTAACATGATTACATAAATTACATAAATCCAACTTTTTAAAAATACATAATTATGTAGATCATTCACGGGAACATCTAATCTCAATTTATTAAGTTGTTGATCTAAAAACTGTAAGCGGCACAGGTGCTTGAGGACAGGACCCCCCCCCCTCCCCCAATATAGACCCCCGGGCCTGTTAGACTTTTTCACATAAATTATATATGGATGACACATTTGTGATATAATCTATCCTATCAATTCAGAAAATTTGATTAAACTAACCTTCTATAAAAATTTTACCCCACTCTCGTTGATTTTTATATAGAGTTTTGGGTAGATTCTAAAGAACATTTGCTTCAGGTAATTTTTCTAATATTTGGTATAGACCTTATCACAAATAAGTCAATGAAGGATTATTTATGAGAAAAAAGCCCAGGGGTCTATATCGAAAAAGGGGGAGGGGGTCCCGTCCTCAAGCACTTATGGTAAACAGCACTTCACAATGTATTTATTATTTATATTAATTCAGCGAAGATCTGAAATTGGTCGTTGTTCAAATATTGGTAGATAAATTGTCCTTATTTTGTAAAATAATTAAAAAGATAAACATGTACTACCGTAAAATATAATCGACAGCATTCAAGACATGTCACGTCGTAGTCAGCTGATGTCTGCAGTTAAAACGTTTACATCGACTCCATAGCGTAAAGTTATAACTTCCGAAGTAGTACATCGAGATCATTTCGTCGAAGAAAGCTTAGATAAGTGATTGATTTTCCTAATTTGTTGTTATTTCCTCAAAGAATGCAGAAATCAGTGATGGGACAACATTGATTTCATTACAGGAAGTCTGTTTCTATACATCCCGGTGAGGGCGCTGCGAGCGCAAGAAGATAGTGATTGTGACGTCATAAGTCGGCAGTCCCTTCGTTTTAGGTCTATGATAAAATTTACACCACGGGGCGGCGCTGTTAAAGAACGTTAACTCTAAATATTTATGGCGACTCTGCGGAAAGTAAACATTACATTTAAAAAGTAAATGAGCATATACTGTCAAACATTCTATAATTTCGGTTTTTTTTAAGTCAGTAGTGATTAGAAAGTGTGTACTCTAACATTATTTTTTAGACTGCTGACTATTTCATCTGCAAACTCCTACACCGGCATACGCACTGTGTGTACCGGATGACTAATGACCTATATAAATTACTATGGCACACTGTAAATTATCTTCAACTTCAAGCATCAATTTCGGTAAAATAACGTATAACAGTGACTTCCCATAACCCGTAGGTAGCACTGCAAATATGTCCAACCTATTTGCTAATTTCTCCAGATATACTTTCTGTGATGTTTTTTAAAGGAAAGTCGATTGTAAGATCAGCCAAAACTCTGGCGATCGTGATGTCAAACGTTTATTTTTGTTCAACCAATCACAGGCTTTATCAAATTCTGGATAAGCCTCGTTCTGAAGTAAAAATATTTATAGTGGAATGCTCCTAGACGTTTGGTGTGAGACCATGCATCGATGCAACAAACGTGTAGGTGACCTAGACTATGTCTCACCATTGCCGAGGCAGTGACGCAGAGTAAACGAAGCAAAACAGGGACAGGGAACCAGGCTATGCGTAGGAATTTGTTAAAAGTTCTCTACTAAGAACAAATGTATTTTTGATAACTGCATAATAATAATTACAGTACAGTTTATATTCACATTTAATTAATCAGATTATGAGTATAAATTGTTTCAACAGCGATTACAAGTAGATACACTATATTTCAGAACGTCAGTTTAATTTGGCGACTATTGGGTCAACATCCTGCCTTGAACAGGAAGTTGAACAGGATCCCCATAAGCCGGCTATTGCTCTTTGAGCAATAAGCCCGGCTAAAAATGGAAACATCTACAAACCATGTAATGGTAATGTTACAGCTACGCTTTATAAATCTACCCAAACAATCCACATTCAAGGGAGTGAAAGACTCAGTTGGCTTACAGAATTCCTAAATCAAATTAATCATCTACCAATAACTGAAGTCAGTAAAATCGAAGGAATAGGAATGCCAGAGCCACAAAATATGTCTACACCTAAACATTGCAAATCGCAAGAAACGGAAGCTCGGCCATGTCTCAACTGCAATAGTTTTGATGTAATTCAAAAACTAACAAAGACTGTGTCTGATCTCTCCGAAGAAGTTGCTAGACTTAAGCTGGAGCTGCAATCTCTACAGGTTAAAAATACACATTCTGTGGACGCAACTACCCAAACAAGGGAGCCAGTTACAATTTAAAAACTAAGGCTATTGAGACAAGGGACCTAAAGGATTCCAAATTACAAGGTGTAACCAGACACACACAGTGTACGTTCTAGAGTGGAGACAACAGATTCGTCAACATCCCCAGAAACTGATCAGAAAAGCCAAAAAAATCACAATAAACCCAGCAAGAACCAGCAACTGGAGTCAGACGTTCTATCTGGAAAGTCAGTACTGATAATCGGTGATTCTATCCTCCATCGAATAAGAACCCGGCCGTGGATTATTGAGGCATGTTGCTGTCCGAACAAACAGAGGGACTCGGCTGTCAGACATCAGGAGAATTCTCCAGAAAACCGACCTATCGTCCTTTCGGTCAATAATCGTACTTGCCAGGGGAAATATGCTGCCAACGACAGGGAATTGGAGACCAGTGAATGTCATCTCACTGAAATTGTGCTTGAAATCCAAAGGAGGTCCCCAAATACCTAAATATTCATATCGGAAATACCACCACGACGAGATGCTGATGTTACCCACATGAATGAAATGAAAAGATTTGTATGTGAGGAATATAATGTCAACATGATCTATCTACAAGATAAGTTCAAGTCATCAGGTATGTTCTGGAAGGATGGGATTCACTTATCCGACAAGGGAACATCTACACTATTGAATTCCTATAATGCGCACATTCCGGTCATCAAAGCCCGCCATCAGAATGGTACACAAAATGGAAATGTGAATGTGAGTTATTATTGCGGTGAAAATGGTCATTCCTCACGGAATTGTAGGCATGGATGTAAAATTGTTTGCTGGATCTGCAACTCTTCAGGACATAAGGCAAAACACTGTTCCTATTAGGAATTCGGCAAAGAGGAAATTGCCGAAAAACCATTTCTCTTGAAATCAAACCCCTTTAGTGTTTTAGATAATCTTTGTGGTGAATGTGATGAAATACCATGTAAATGCTCATATATCTGTAATTCACACAATACTAATATATTACATAGATCAAGTCAAGATTCTAAATCCTATACACGTTATAATAATGAAAATGATGTAAATTGTTCTATAAAAAATGCATCTCCTAGGAAAATGTAAAATGTACATCCCAAACTACCAGTTCATCAAAGGAAAATTCTAACTTACTAAATCCTGAAATCAATGAGAAATCACAGAAGAAAAATTCAAGTTCATTTAATTTTGGACTGATCAAAAAAGGTCTTAGATTTGGAAATCTAAATATATGTCACATCTTGCCTAAAATTGACCAGCTTAAGCTTCTTTTATCAGGCTATCATTCTATTGATGTATTTGGTGTCTGTGCAACTATTTTGAATGAACAGACAGACAATTGTGAATTAGATATTGATGGATTTAATTTTGAGAGAAGAGATAGATTAGGGAAATCAGGAGGAGGTATAATTGTATATATTTCAAATAATTTGCATTACAAACGTCGCAATGATTTTGAAATAGGTGACATAGAAACAATTTGGCTTGAAATTAACATCCCAAATTCAAAACCATTTTTTTATTGTACCGCATATAGGCCCCCATCTGCCACCACCTGCTGGGTAGAAAGTCTAACACAGGAGATAAATTGTGCATCCCGCTTTGACGATGCTGAAATTATTTTAACAGGTGATTTTAATATTGATCTGATGTAAGACCCCCCAAGATACTGGACCTATGCTTTTGAAGAATATGACTTTTCACAGATAATTAATGTACCCATGAGAATAACAAATGTCTCCTCAACCCTAATTGATCATGTTTATACTAACCTACCCGAGAACATATGTGAATCTGTAGTACCGCCAATTGCAATCTCTGACCACTATCCTATTTGTTTTACAAGAAAATTACATGATTATGTTAAGAAGTATAAGCACACGGAGATAACATATAGAGACTTCAAATGTTTAATGAAATAAACTTTCTCTCAGACCTGGAAAAAGTAAACTTTCAATCCTTGGATTCATTCTCTGATCCTAACGATGCATTAAATAAATTTTATTCTCTTTTTAATGCTGTACTAGACAAACATGCAAAAATAAAATCTAAAAGAGTGAAGTATGATGCAAGACCAAAATGGTTAACCCAAGAAATTCTTGAAGTACAGCACAAGCGCAATAACTTTCATAAAAATAAGGACTTTGAAAACTACAGATTATGGCGAAATAAAGTAACATCACTGATTGAAAATGCAAAAATTAATTATTATAAATCAACTGTAGAGCAAAACAAAAATCCACGCCAGATGTGGGATGCATTAAACAAATTAGCTTCTACTCCCAAAAATTATAGTCCGACGGCACTTGAACAAAATAATAATGTAACAGAGGATACACAAGAAATTGCAGAGATATTTAATTCTCATTTCTCAAATGTCTCTGCTAAACTCCTTGAAGGAGTAAATAAAGAAGAGTGTGATTTCGATGGCCTTTCAAATTTTGTACAGTCTAAATTGGGATCAGAAATGTTTTGTATCCCGCTTATTAGCCCAGACGAAGTGCTTTCCTTACTAAACAAACTAGATGTTAATAAATCATCAGGTGTTGATACCATCGGTCCACGTTTATTAAAACTTACTGCACAAATAATACATAAACCTGTAACCCATATAATAAATATTAGTATTACTTCAGGTATTTTCCCGAAAAGCTTCAAACTTGCAAAAGTTACACCTATTTATAAAAAGGAAAACAAGCTAGATCCAAATAACTACAGACCCATTTCTATTTTACCCACATTATCAAAAATTATAGAAAAACATGTGACAAAATATGTACGATTACTATTTTCAGACTTTGATCTTTTAATAGATCTCAATCAGGTTTCAGAGAATTGCATTCATGTCAAACAGCCCTTACAAAAATTACAGATATATTGTTATATGAAATGGACCAAGGCAAACTTGTTGGTACTGTCTTTCTCGACTTCAGTAAGGCATTTGACTTAGTAAATCATGAAATTCTTCTTAAAAAGCTACAATGTTATAATTTTGATGAAATAACTTTACATTGGTTTCGATCGTAGTTAAGTGACAGAGTCTTCAAGGTGTCCACCTGTCCAACAAAGAATCATCTTATCAGCAAGTCACAGCGGGGGTTCCACAGGGGTCTATACTAGGTCCTCTTCTGTTTTTAATGTACATTAATGATCTTCCACATTATATAAAAAATTCAAACAAAGACTTGTTTGCCGATGATGCCACTTTACATGCTTCCGGCAAAGATTCCCAATCTACAGTAAATTCATTATCAATGGATATTGCCTGTATAGATAAATGGTCACTCAAAATCAAATGATACTTAATGCCTCAAAAACTAAATGTATGTTAATAGGTACACATCAGAAGAGATCAAAATTCTTAAATCATGATTTTCCTTTATACGTTTCGAACCAGAAATTAGACAATGTAAGATATGAAAAAATTCTTGGGGTATATTTAGATAATTCTTTACAATACAATGTACATATCGACCATGTGTGTAAAACTCTGTCACATAAAATTTCTGCACTTCGTAGAATTAAAAAAATATCTGCCTCTCGAAACACGTGAATTGTTTTATAATGCATACATCATGCCTACCATTGATTACTGCCTAACAATTTGGGGAAATACGTCCAGATCAAATCTTGAAAGAGTTCATAAACTTCAAAAACGTGCTGCAAGGTATATTTTAGATGCTCCCCCTGATGCACCATCTAGACCCCTTTTTGATAAACTTGATTGGCTTACTGTTTATGAACAGCTTACTGTAAATAAATATGTATAGTTATATAAATCCATCTTTAATTATTTTCCTAATAATTTACATGAATTGTTTCAATTTCAAATTAATAACCAATATACTCTTCGATCTGAATCTAATGTTGATTTGTGTGTGCCAATTCATAAATGTAAACTTTTGAAAATTCATTCTAGTACTCTGGCACCATATTATGGAATGCTTTACCGGTGCACATAAAAATGTCACCAACTCTTAATGCTTTCTAGAGACAAGTAAAACAATATGTAAAACAATGCCAGAATAATTTGTGATTCTTGTTTAATTGTATTTGTATATTTATGTATATATTTATAATATGTCTGTATGTGTATAACTATGTATTTTTAAATTGTTAATTGTCAGAATGCCCTCGGGAAGAATAGTGCTTGCACTAATCAGGTTACCTTCTTTAACCCCTTCCGTGGCATATACGCTTTTCTACGCCTCTGGCGTGAAAAACGTGTAGAGTGTAAACAAATATTCATAACTTCTTTAATACTGCGAATATTGAAATAATTTTTGTATCATTAGAAAGAGGGAACGATTGCAAAGAAAGTTTGTTCTAAATTTTTTTTAATTTGATTTACCAGTTTTTTGGTATTTTGAGTTAAACAACGTGTATTATTCAAGCGATATTTGCCGCGATCGAAATCCACGCGGTACAAACACTTGTCAATTTTTCGTAGCAAAACACGTTTAAACAACTTCAGAAAATATCAAAACCAATTAGTTTATTCAATTAGATGTGTTAGGAACTAATTATCTAATTAAAATATAAATACGCGTGTTAGATAATGATAAAAAAATGTTTTTAGTTGACCAATTCAAAAAATATTTTTGAGAGTTACGTTCTTATTACGATATATGGATATAAAAATGTTTGAATTTCCCTGGAAGAGAAAAAACGAGTAAAAAATTGTTAAAATACATAACCACATATCCACTTTTACAATAAAGTAGATGGTTTTGTTGTTTTGATAAAAAAAGAAAACATGCGAAAATATTATGAAAATCTGTCGGGATCGTTCTGCGTATATTTGGCAACATTCGTAACACGTGTAAACAATATGGCTTCTTGCGACATTTCTTCATCCCCAGAATCGTCAGATATAGATACAGACGAAGAATTTGGCGACGATTCATCCGAATCTGGATCAGATTTTGATCAGGATGATTCAGACAGCGACCATTCCTTTGGAAGTGAGACAGACAGCGATAACAACCAGGACACAGATTCGACATTATTTGACCTTGACAGCCAGGCAAGCGACATTAGAGATTCTGACTTCTGGACTGATGTTGTGGAAGACTTTGATGTTCCAGACTTCGTCGATAATTCAGGTCCCACTCATCAGCTCTCTTCGGATGCAAATCCTCTGTTATATTTCCTGCTTTTGTTTCCCTTGAGTCTGGTACAGGTACTTGTGGACAACACCAATTCGTATGCTGCTCAGAGTGGAGCCCAGGGTTGGACGGATACCACTATCGACGAGATGAAGGCATTCCTCGGATTACAAATTCTGATGGGGATTATTCAGCTTCCCAGATACACTATGTATTGGTCATCTGATAAGTTTATCGGTAAGTGATAAAATTTGCACCTATATTGTTTTGTTTCTTTAGATTACTTTCTGTTTACAATAATCAGATAATGTTCATGTTACAATTTGAAAAAAAAAAATATTGTCAGTCATTTCCTTTGAAAAGTACATTAAATTTTATTATATTTACAACAGACACTGATCCATTTTTCCTTGATAAAAATTAAAAATAAAGAAATAATATTACATGTAATGAACTTATGTTAAGTTCATAATTGTTGTGTCTTACATTGTCTGGAAACCTTCATGACTACAATGTTTACTTTTTTGTCTTTGTTTTGTGTGTGTAACAAAGATATAAACATAATGTATTGTACATTTTTGTTTTTGTCTATAAATTGCACACCCATTCAATTTGTTTCATTTGTATTAAATTTATGTTTGTATTTTTATTCAAACAATATTTATTTAGATGTTGAGCTGACCAATGTCTTCAAACCTTTACCATGAAACAACTCGGATCATAAACTTTTCTAAATATTGAGGAATATGTTGAATATAAAATGAAAATACTTTACACCTGCTTAGTGCTCTTCTGGAATTGGCAGTGTAAGTCATTTAAAATTGTTTCTTTATTTCTTATCTCATTTTCTAGAGGTAAAATCCATTCATTGTTGAATTTATTTTTTAAAATTGACATTGATCATGTTGATAAGTGAAATTTACAATCATATGCAGGTAACATTGGTTTTCAAGAAACGCTGAGTTTGAAAAGATTTGAAAAGCTCACTCGGTATTTCCATCTAAGTGATAATACTACTCAGGGAGCCAGAGGAACACCTGAATTTGACAGGTATGCAATTTATAATTCTGTATTTTAATAGTTAATCAATATAAATATTCTAGAAATTATTCAACAGTGATCTTAAATTAATTATAACTAATATTAGTTACAGAAAACTAATAATCAGTTATGAAATTGACACTGATTTACATCACTTTAGTTTAGTGTCTTCATTTTGTTTTATAGATTTATATTTACATTTGCTAATGTCTTTCCTTATATGACAATATAAATAGTTTTGACATTCAATTTTCAATGACATGCAGTTGTGCAAACCGCAGGAGACTATTAGAAAGTCTTGACTGTGACGTCATAATGACGACGTAGTAACGTTATGTTGCATTTCTATAACAATGTCAAACTAGCGCCTATTTTTCCTTGTAACACGAATAAAAGTAAAATATAAATATAAGAAATAAAATATCATTTTTTAGAGTTTCATTGGGATGTGACATAAAGTCAGTACGTGATCACATTTCTTTTCAACAGATTACACAAAATAAGACCTGTACTTGATGAGACGAGAAGGACATTCCGGAGTCAGATGAATCCACCTAAGCAACAGGCTATTGACGAGGGCATGGTTAAGTACAAAGGGAGATTTTTTGCAAGACAATACATGCCGAATAAACCGGTCAAGAGAGGTTTTAAGGTTTGTATCAATGAAATGCCTATTTGCATTCAATAAATCGATATTGTGATACACAAAATAATGTAATTATTTAAAAATTATTAATTACATATTTAAAAAAACACTAAGGAAGCATTAAGATTTTTTTTATATGATGATGAGGTGGATCAGGGAATGGATGAGAAGGACAGGTACCGTATATACTCGCCTACAAGTCGGTCCGCCTATAAGTTGGTTGTATTTAATAAGCTTATATATCAGAGGGACTGACCTCATATAATACCATTCATTTTATAGCTAGCCTACAAGTCGGACATAGAGTTTTGGACCATAGATTTACTCCCAAAAATCTGACTTATAGGCGATTATATACGGTAATCATCCCCCCAGTAAATGGTCCACCGGCTAATGTATGTCTCTGAAATGCTAGGTGAATAGTTATAAAAAAAATTTGATGCAACAAAATATTTTTTTCAGATATTCATGAGATGTGATGAGGATGGGTATTGCTACGATTATTGGCCATATATGGGAAAACATGACTTTTTTCATGGAAAGTCACTAGGAGAAAGAGTCGTCAAACACTTGTGTAGACCATTGAAATACAAAGGCCATCATGTGTTCTTTGACAGGTTGGTGTTTAACAACTTAAAATGACTTCAACATTATACAACAAGACTGAGTGATAAAAGATTCATTATCAAAATAATTTCATATTTTCCAATGTCTAATATTTTTATACGTTATATAATATCAGGTTCTTTACATCCATTTCCTTGGTGCGAACCTTGCTTCAGAATGGGATTTTTAGTTGTGGGACAATAAAGAACGACTCAGAAGGATTTCCGCCAGAGTTAAGAAATCCAGATTTAAGGAGAGGGGAGACATTACAGATGCAGCACGACCAATTGCTTGCCACTGCTTGGAAAGATAAGAAAACGGTATTACTACATATTCATTGTCTTCATACAGACATGTACTATGTTTCAAAATTTAATAAAAATAGCAACATTTATCACAATTACACTTCTACCTGCAATCATTAAACTTTCAACTAAAGAGTTAAGGAGGACATAAAGGTCTATCTGATTAATGATATTCCTGTGCAATTTTTTCTGTATATCTTTGTTAAAAGTCTCATAGTACAAATATAGTTTCAGTGCTTATCTTAAAATCCCAAAGAAGTAAATATATCTATATGTAGCGTAAGTTTAATTTCCAGTTAGGCCTATATCTCTATGTAATTTTATGTTAGGTACATATTTTGAGCACTAATTGTAGTCCGTTTGGAGATGGCCCAGTTGTCCGTCGAACTCGGGGTGGAAATTTTGTTGAGGTTATGTGTCCTCCACCAGTATCTTCCTATCAACGTTATATGAGTGGAGTCGACAGATGCATGCAACACCGTGCAAAGAATCCTGTTGGCAGACCATCCAAAAAATACTGGAAGTTTTTCTTCAACTTTATCATGGAAGTTTGCCTTATAAATGCATTTGAGATTTTTTCCAGAACACCTGGTAAGGATCTTCCTGCCAAAACAAGGTTTGACCTGCTGGATTTCAGGATGGAGGTGGCTCAGCAACTTATTGGAGGCTTCAGAGGAAGAAAGCGGGGCCATCATTTACAGGGTATTCTTGACCCCCCTCATGTTTTTTGCCATCTGGATCGCCTAAAGTCAACATGCAAATGGTGTACCAAACACGGAGAAAAGAAAAGAAAGGAGACAGTTTATGGTTGTAAAGGGTGTAACAAACACTTGTGCAGTGAACGATGTTTCAGGGAATTTCATTCTGATGTTAATCTCTAAGATCAATTTGTTACGTAAGTCACATAATCATGCTTGGAAAATTTGTATGAGATGCCACTTGCAGGAATACATAAAACATAGGATTACTGTACATTACAATGACTCAAAGATCAAGGTTAATATTCCTTAATTTTACGCATTATATTTTAAAATTTGAATACCGTGTATAGAGGCATATCAAATCTTCTAAATGTTATTTTGGAAGCTAAGATTTTATTTTGTAAATCTCCTTAAGTTTGTAAGTTAAGAATGATGGTGTCTACTCATAGAGGAAATTTTTTTTCAATTATGCAACAATGTGCTATGTCATAGATCAAAGTTCAACTTCATTCAAATTTGAAAAGTCTATGAATTATTAAAGTTCAAAGTCTTTGATTTTTTCTATTCTTTTTTTGTCAAGAGCCATATATAACATCTAAGTTTCTGCTTGTGTAATTTTATCTTTATATTTACTTGAAAGTATTTACCACTTGTTAACAATTATGATCATTCCTACCAGGGTAAAAAAGTGTGATTAAAAACTAGAATTGTTCCAGAAACAAATACAGGTATAATTCATACCTGCACGACAATATTGGAAAAAAACTTTAGAATTTGTTATTGTGAAGAAAATAGTTGTTGACTGGTCAGGGCAAACATTCTATCAAACCAAAAATCACCAGAAGTAATTTACTCTTCAGAGGATAACAGTGAACAAAAATTGTTGTACGAAAAGCAACAATGTAATTAAAATCAGACTTCTTAGATCTGCACCGTATATTTTTTGTTGAGCAAAGGGTTTTCAAAATCTTGAATGGTTAATAATTTAATTTCACTTGTATCAGGCTATTTCATAGGTTGAATCATTCAGAGGAACATATAATATTTTGGATAACATAACTTGCCTACGTCACAATGAGTTACGTCAAAAACGTATTACTTCGCTTGACGTTACTTTTAAAATAATGCTCAATTTGAAACCATATTCTGGAGGAAAAAAATTGTCTAATTGTCTATACTGAAATTAAATTATAAGGAATGAAGCTAATTTCAACTATATATTATACGATATAACAAAACTTGGGGCAGTTTACGCTTTTTAATAAACTGCCCCAAGTTATGTTATATCGTATAACATAAGTTGAAATTAACTTCATTCCTTAAATATCTTTATATATTTTGAATAGTTTGACCTTTGACCTTTTGACCTCCATCTCAAAAGGGGTCATCATGTACTTACTAAGGGGTACCAGTCATGAGTGTACATGTACTAAGTTTTGTTGTCTGTCAAACAAAGGATTTTTCAGACATGGAATGAGTAATACTTGGTCTATGATTGCGAGAGATAGCTGTTAAGCAACGTTATTCTTCCTTTTCACTACTGGAGCATAAAATATTGAAATCCTGTATTTACTCCCTAAAGTGCTTAAAATTTTATTAAAACTTTGGGTAAACAATATGCTGCTATGTCTCAACATCAAAATATACTTACTTTAAATACTTTAATGAACTAAAAAAGTTAATATATAACTAATTGAAGGTTAAATAGAGATTTCTCAATAATTTGGGCATATTTCGTTGCCATGGCAACAGAAAGAATGTTTTCATTATCATTTTCAGAAACCTCACAATACCTACTTTCAGAATATATATACATTGGTATGTACAAAAATTACAAGAAATACCCGAAAAAATGCATTAAAATCTTGATATCATTTCTCTAAAAATGCTAAAAATCTTTGCCATGGAAGGGGTTAAATAAAGTATTATTATTATTATTATTATTATTAATGTTTCGTACAAATCATTCCTGCAGATCGCACGCCAAATGCGCCCATCTTCTTTGTATGTCGTCGTTGTTGTAAACTTTTCACAGTTTCATCTTCTTCTCAAGAACCACAGGACCAATTTCAACCAAACTTGCTACAAAGTATCCTTGGGTAAAGGGGATTCCAGTTTGTTCAAATAAAGGGCCACGCCCTTTTCCAAAGTGAAATACTTATGAATTAGAGAAAAATTCATGACATTTTAAAAGAATCTTCTTCTCAAGAACCACTTGGCCAGGAAAGATGAAACTGGAATCATCCTTAGGTAGTGTAGATTCAAGTTTGTTCAAATCATGACCCCCTATATATATAACGCAAATGAACATTGCGAGAAAAATAAGTGACAGAAAAAATGCATTATTTTTGTATTTTACGTTAACGTAACTGGGTTATAGTTTTTCGTTATGAAATAAACCTTTGTGCACTTTGGTGTCCTGAGTAAAATGAATTTGCTCAAAGAAAGAAAACATAAATGTCAATTATAAGCGATTAATTATTGATACATTCCAAAGTGTTTGGTGGAGGAAACTGCAAAACAATGATTGGTACTAAGGCTCAGTACATAGAATGCAATTAATAAGAAATTAATTAAGAAATAGAATTTGTAGAATTTTCATTTATTAAAGACTGTGTTTCTTCATTAGGCATATCTATCAAATAATATTATTTTATGATTTGTTTCAGGGATCAAAGTTTTTAAAAGGTCTCATTTTCTATACTTTCCATAAAAAATCTGCAGCGTACCATAAAAAAGTAGTCAGTTGGGATTTCTTTTTCTAAACACTTTGTTTATAAAATGAATAAGCTATT